TCAAGTGTTTCTTAACAGCTGCGTAGGTTTAGCATTAGTTTTATCAATTGTGAAAAACTGAATACAGCTTTAAACCATAATGACTGGCAAGGAAAGACTACCTATTGGGCCTATGCTCAAGTCTTGCTGAATTTGGGAGTCTGATGGGGAAATTTCAACCTGTGTTGAAAAGTACTTCCATACTTCCATACTTTCATACTTTCATACTTTCATACTTTCATACTTCCTCTGAAACTGCATCACAAAATTCTCCACACAAGATCCAGGACATGTAGTTATCTGCTTGTTTGTTTGTTTATTCATTCCTTGGCATACTTGACAAATCTCTGACTTTCCAGTCACCCCATTTGGAAAACCTTCTGGATGCCATTGCTCTGTATGTTTTCAAAGCCCAACAAGGCTCCTCAGCAGCAATTCGGCTTCTCTTTCTCTTAGAAGTGACAAAACAAAGAGGAAACAGAGGCCTTCCCTCTTTTGGTGCACTGGATAACTGAAGGCTATGAGGCGATGGTTTGGAAGTTACCTTATCCAGAAGCCTAGTCAGTAGGAGGTGAAGCCAGGTGATTGCCAATGCCAACATGGGTCTGAGCTCAGGCATTGACTTTTTTATACTGCCCTCACTCCACAATTTGGGAATTATGCAAATTACCTATTGGATCTGAGAGAAAAGAGGAGAGGGAAGATGGACTCTCATCCAACTGTGCAATAATAAATGCAAAGCAGAGTCTTGAGGTACAGTGAGAACAAACAAGGTTGGAATCTCCCTTTGGGAACTGGTGAGGCTGAGCTTTAGTTCAAACCTGTGACGATCAACATCCCAAGACTGATGTGTCTTTGAGCTGCCTTTGGCTGGTGTCTGAGTAACTCATAGGAAGGAGCAGGATTCCTTGGTCAGAGCCCAAGAGCTGGCCCCAGAGCACATGGCTGTGCTGGGATATTTGCAAAGGCAGCACTGCAGCTCTGTGGCAGTGACTTCGGGGCAAGTGGGGAATGCATAGACTTCAAAACCCGGAGTCGGAGCCAGACTGTAGATTGAGAGAACCAGCTGTGTGCCAGGAAAACATCTCTGAAGCATTTATTTGGAAAATATATATAAAATAGGTAGATGAAATGCTCTGCTTTCCTGTTCTAACATGCATTTCATAAAAAAACACATGCACATACAATGTTGATTAAGAGATGAGGTAGAGGGGGCAGGCCCAGGTGTGGCTCTGTCTTGGCTGCTGTCTTGGAAGGCTGCTCATCCTGAGGTGGAAGGAGTACTCTGGGTATGACTTCCCTGCTGCTTCACAGGAAAAGAAGTGTGTGTTCATAGAAGAAAATTAAAGCCAATTACAGATTTATCTGTTATATTCTATTGTTTCATGATATTTGTTCCTCAGAATGATTTTCCTCATGAAAAGCAGTGGTGGCTTTGTCATGATGGCTGGGGGGGCTCTGTGGCACTTTCCATAGATTTGGCTCTTCTGACTTCCCTAGTGTTATTCCATGTACAGCTTCCAGAGGAAAAATGGGCACAAGGCTGTGAATTGTTACAGAGGTTTTTGCAAAGCTTGAAATCCACAGTTCCCTATTTTTTTTTTTACAAGGCAGCTAAGCAGCTTTTTAACATCTCTTTTGTTTCTCACATCTCTTCAGACACCCGTTTCCCACCCACCTCTATCTCTCCGCAGCAGTTTCCTTTTCATGATGCTTCTGTTTCACCTTCAGGGCTTCAGCAACATTTTTTCAAACTGAACACTTAGCCACAGCCAAAACAGCAAGTGCTGCCATTTTTTTACCTCACAGATCTCTCACTCTTGATTTCTGACTAACTTTATTTACTAATATAGCAACATGAGACCTTGCAGGAGGTCCTTGCACTTTGCAAAGGCAAGCGAGGGAAGCAAATGTGAGCTTGTAAATTTTTTTCCCTATAAAAATCTCAATTCCACTTAGATGCAAAAGGAAAAATAAGAAGGCTGAAAAGATATATATGAGAGGAATGTGCAACGTATGACTAATGTAGTACCTTTTGAAACAATAGATAAAGGATATATCTGCTGTCAAATTATCCCTTCTTATGAGGTTATGACAGATATGAATTGCAGAGCCAAGTCATTAGGGACCACACATGCACACAATAAGATATAATTTCTAAGGAGAGGAAATTGCTTGATTGTGAAGCCTGGCTTCTTATATTACAGAGGTATTACTTATTAGTTTATATTAATATGTCTCCAATTATTGCATACAGAATTATCTCTGTCTACTTATAGCATCCTTGGATACAGCCATACAGATCCAAGATTGGCTTCCAGATCTGCATTCTCACTAGCCCTTCTTTTCTCTTAGTTTTCATTTAGTTAAAAAAAAAAACAACCTAAAACAACTAAAAAGCCCATATACATAACATTGCTCTATTGCATTGAGATGATACACTCTCTTTCCTACTCTGTTTTCTCAGAGATATAAACATATTTATTTTGCCCTACATGTTCCTTGTGCTGAAAAACTGGCTTCAGATGCAGGTTTTGTGTTTTCTTCTTATCTCAGCCATTTTACTTTAGTAATTTATTATCTGCTTTACTTTAGTAATTTGCATCCTCCAACTGTTTATGTGGGAAGACAATCCGTCATTGGGTAGGAAAAGGTATCACTATTTTCTTTCAGGTGAATTTTACTTTATTGACGTGTCAGAATTGCTTCCCTTTTAGGTAAGAATCTAAAAGCTGTTACCAATCATCTTTTCTTGTCTTTTTTATTATCTCTTTCCTAATTTTTTTTTCTAGACCTCCCTGAAAATTGTTCCAGTCCTTAAATTTTTTTTGTCTTCAGGCTGAATTCATGGACTGATTTTTAACTGGATCTTCACCATCAATGGCAACCATTTCAATGTAAATTCTCATTCCAGTATTTTATTTTTTAGCTTTAGCTGATTGCAGAAGAGAAAGCTTTAAGGTGAATTCCAGGTATTCTTTTAAGCAGATAATATGAACAAGAGAATGATGCCAGAGAATGCAGCGGGAAAATTCGTGGAATCAATGCCCGTGCCATGGTGGCTGTGCCATTGCAGCTGATTACAGCATCCAGATAATGATATTACTTTCTTGGCTCTGATGGCTGTACACAATGTCAGAGGGCTAAGCCTCGGTAGAGAAACAGCAATAACCAATGTTATCAGCTGACAAACAATCTGTTGTAAAGCTGGTTATCCTTTCCAGCTACAACACAGCTTCTTTTCAGGGGATGGTAACTCAGGGAAAGTAAACCAGGTAATTGTAAAAGCACCACCTGTTCCCAGCTTCCTATAAGGAAACTAGACAAATATAATATAGACTGCAATCTGTGTAAATTTGTTCAAAGTTGGGAATTTCCACTTGACAAACACTTCTCGGTGCAATAATAACTGGTGCAATAAAAAAAAAAGATGAATTCTGTGAAGAATAACAGTGGGAACAACAGTTTCCAGTAAGGCTGTCATGATAAGACCAAGTCAGCCAGTGCTGGGAACTGCTGACACAACTACAGAGCAACACAGTGACAAAGGGAGAAACCAGCACAATGCAGCAAATGCCATTACTGTCAATCATCTTTCATGTGGCTGCATGAGGAAGTGTGACTTCCTCTTCTCTGCTGGTTATGCGTTATTTCATATGGGAAAACCCCTTTAAATTTGCATAGATAACACCAAATTCTGGCCCTTGCAGGCTAGGATCTTTCTGGGCTCCCCAATGCTCAGGGTATGCTCATCTGAATGACCTTTATTGGTTTGTTGTAGAACCGAACAAAAGTCACTTGTCCTATGGAGGACAAAGGTCAGTCTGGAAGGTCTGAGTCACTGTTTATTTTTGCCATGCTAACCCATCATATTCTTAATCAGTTACCAGCTACTCAAATCACAAGGTGAATGACATTAAATTAAAAAACACCCAAACATTAACGATTTCTACAGATTTTATTTTTCTTAATGCTATCCCATGAAGGGAACAAGACAAGGAGCCTTCATAGGAGGAAAAGCAATATGGTATACCAGCTCTCTGGATATTTGGAACATCTGTTCCAAACATCTGTTAGGAGAAGAGGAGGCTTACAGTGTAGCTTCATCTAGCCTGTACCTTGCTGTAGGAAACTACCTCTACCAGTTGGGTGCTTTCTGCAGAAGACAGGTGGAAGGCTTTGCAGTGGTTCAGTTAATGGTTACCCACTCACATTTTACACTGCTGACATTTTGAAATGGATGTTTGGGGTTTGCCAGAGCATCACACATGGAGTTCCTGCTTTTAAGCTGCAGCAGTCAGAAGATGCTGTAATAGTTCCATTTTCCATAAAGCTTCAGCTGTTTCATGGATCTGGGCATCTGAGGACACTCATCATGAACACACTCCAAACTATGTGGTTTATAATGTTCCTCTCCACTGGATGTTGCAGGAATGAACCACCATTTTCACTTTCAATGAGGCATATTAAGTATGCAAGTTGAGAGAGCAATTGATTAGAGGCAGATCTGCTCCATTTGCTGAGGATGTTTGCCCTTTTGCAGGCCAGCTCCTGCCAGATTTTTGGATGATGACACACCAATCTGAATTATAGAAACACTTAGCAGAAATTTATTGCTGTTATGCAGTAAGCCACAGGAATGTAAGCAAGTCAAGGGTGATAAGAAATGTCTACTTCCTCTTTTGGGTGAACTTCTCAGCTTTCATGTGTAGGCTGAATGAATTATGCAGTCCCAGGTATTGAAATGTTTCTTGCCTAATGTACTGTGTAATGACTTTCTGGAAAAATAATTACTTCTGAATACATCATTCTGATTAGATCTATCTGAAATATCAGTGACAAATTTATGCTAAACTGGAAAGGACAGTAAGTTTTTCCCAGCTTTTGAATCACGATAGTGTTGATCACAGTTATAACATAGAATTCAAATCCAGAATTGAATGGAAAACTGGATTTTTTCCCCTCTTTAAAATCTCATTTGGGGTGTATTTTTGATTAGTTGTTTTGGTCAAGAGTCTTCTGAGACCTACATTGCTAGTAGGTACTTTCATAAAAGACTGTCCCTTCATGTAATTTCTTAAATAGAGTTAAGTAGGAAAGATTAAGTTTATTATGACCTTTTTTTCAAGCAGGAGCAAACACATCTAAGCAGCAGAAGAAACTTAAAAATTTCTGCGCAGATGCAGGCAGTCAAAAGTTCTCAGGGGACTGTGAAGTAAAAATAGAGGATAAGGCAAATTCATTAAAGTTACTAAGACTTTTAAGACCTAAGTACAACCTGCTGGTTTTGTGGTATGGATAGAAGTGACAGTGAAGCACATGGGATTTTACTTCAGGAACAGGTCTGGGAATTGCAGTGTAGATATCACCAGTCTGTCACCCTATGAACATTCTCTTCTGGCAACACCAGACACGTGCTGTCCAAAAGGTTTTTAAGGGGTATCCTCAGGCAGCTGCTTGCTTTCTTGGCATGATGAATGTATGCTATGTTCCTCTCTCTCTATAGCTAATTCCAGCAAGGAGCTGCCCCCTGCAGCTGGCATCTTCTCACCAAATGACACAGTTATTTATAGAAATTCCTCCTTCTCCCACAGATACCTAATATCTCCATTTGTTTTCCTTTACTCCCTTCCTTTCCACGGACATGGTTTACTGGTAATATGGCAGTGCTGGGTTAACAGTTGGATGTGGCGATTTTACATGTTTTTTGCAATACTAATGATTCTATGATTCTATGAAAGATGGTAAATTTTTGTCATCTGGCAATACCAACAAACGGATCTTTTTACCCATCTGGCAATACCAACAAACTGCCTGTTAAAAATTTTTTTTTATTTTTAATGTGGACTCAGGGGTGATAAAACTGAGTTACAGAGACACTGTGATATCACTGTATTGCTGTTATGTTTGCCTGTCCATGGATTATGGGGATGAGGGAGAAGGGAAGGCAAGCTATTTGTTAGCCTGCTTGTTACCAGTATAATATAATGATCAAGTATTGAAGCTTGTATTTATCCATGTGCCTCTCATATTCAGTTTCCTGTAACTCATGGTTGTTTCCATGCCAGCAGAGCTACATCCTAATCAGTTGCTTTTCCTTTTTAAAATGCTTAGATGCAATTCCTTTTCAGTAGTGTAGATGATTTGACTAATGGCCTCTTTTGGATGACTCCTCAATTCTCATTTTATATAAATCACAATATTTTTCAATTTCCATTCTTCCTAGAAACCAAAGTACTTCTGTGTTACCTAATTCCTAGCATGAACTTTCCCAAGCTGGTTTTTCGTTATATGATCAGGTCATTGCACCCCTTGAAGCTTCTTTTGGTTTATTTCTGGCGCTTGTTCTCTTCACCAAACCAACTGAAAAGGAAACCTCAGCCTACAGAGTGCAGTGACCATGGCCAATGCATGGCCAGTGGATATCCTGAGGTGGCCTTGCTTCACAGCAACTCTTGGCTCTGCAGCCCTGTGGCTCTGTAGCTAGCAATCAAATGGCTTTGCAGATGAGCACCACAGATCTCTCAGCAGATAATGGAATTGCAGTGAGGAACTCCACGTGGGACTGGGCACTGAGACACCTGATGACAGGTGGGAGGCAGCGCCTGTGGTTCTGAGTGGAGCAGGCATTATGAGGGCTAAGGATTAGATAAGGTTCTTGGGTGATGCATAAGAGAATGCAATGAATTGGTACACTGGCAATTTTGGAGGTAGGCTGCCGGTGCAGCTGTTGGGTCTGGGGAAACAGAGACTTGTTCCTGGATGTATCTACTTGTGCCTGGCCTGGCAGGTAGGGCTGTGCCCCACCATCTCCCAGCCTAGGAAAGTGGGCTCAGTGCTGCTGTGCATGAAAAAAAGAACTCTAGAATAGAATAGAACCAGAGACTCATAGAATCATAAAATGGTTTGAGTTAGAAGAGACTCTAAAGGTCATCTAGTTGGACAGGACACATTTCACTAGACCAGGCTGCTTACCGCTCCATCCAATCTGGTCTTAAACACTTTCAGGGATGGGGCATCCACGATTTCTCTGCACAACCTGTTCCAGTGCCTCACCACCTTCACTGTAATGAATTTCTTCCCAGTATGTAACCTCATCCTACTCTCTTTCAGTTTGACGCCATTCCCCCTTATCCTGTCACTACATGCCCTTTAAAAAAGTCCCTCTCCAGCCTTCTTATAGGCTCCCTTCAGTTACTGGAAGGACACAATTAGGTCACTGAAATATTTTCTTTTCCAGGCTGAACAGCCCCACTTCTCCCAGGCTTTCCTCATAAGAGAGGTGCTCTAGCCATCTAACCATCGTGGTGGCCTCCTCCAACAGGTCAATGTCTCTCCAGAGCTGGATGCAACACTGCACGTGGGATCTCACCAGAGTGGACCAGAGGGGAGGAATCTCCTCCCTCAACCTGCAGGCCACACTGCTTTTGATGTAGCCCATGATACAGTTGGCTTCCTGGACATAAAGTTGGCTTAATTGACTTAAGACGTTACCACACCGATCTGAAATTATTTCAAATTTATTACATTGTTTATTGCTATTGCTCTGAACCATAGTTCTCTGCGAAGAGTCTCCAGTCAATCTTTGAACAAAAAATTGTAAAAAAACCCCACTATGATTCCGCAAGGTGTCTTCCAGTATGACGAACCTGTATCTACAAGATTTTGTACAGAATCTTAGTTATAGTAATTAAAATTTTTACAAAGACAATATAAATTATGTGCTTGCACAGAGCTGGAATTTGGCTGTGAAAAAACACTTTTTCTCACAGATTTATTGGTCCATAAAAATTACAGGCATAAAACCAGCCTTTGGATTTTTATGAAATGTGTTAAAAAAATCTAGCAATATAAAAATGTGTTATAATTTGTGGCATGCCTTAAGTTACCGAAAAAGACTGAATCACGGCAAACCAATTCAAATTTAAACATACTGTCTACAGTGCTGCCAAAAGATAAAATCATGCTTGAGTGCCACAGCCTTATTTTATAGCTCATGCCTGAAGAGAAATTATATAGTTCAGATAAGGCCTTTTGAAAATAGACATTTATGACTCTTTCATTAAAGAGGACTCTTCACTGGGCACCACTGTAGTAAAATTGTATCTCTGCAAAACAGATGATAGTGTCACTTTGACTTTTAGCATGCCACAGAGTGCTGCTCTAAAGCCTGGCCACAAACCATACACAAAAATGCTCCAGTTTGGATTGGCAAATGTTTGTGTTATTCTTTGTGTGTAAACTGTACATTCCTGTTAAGGCCAGTTATCCTAAAATTAAAAGTGAAATTTTGACATTGGAAGGTTTTGGTTTTTTTAGAGAACTTAGGAGCTAACATGGTTTGACTAGATTCCAGTTCTGCTATCTATGAGGAGTTCCCAAAGACAATGATGGACCATTGCTAAACATTTTATTACAATCTGAAGGTACTACTGCTACTAAGTGCACAAAGGCAAGGGAGAGAGACTTTGATCATTCAGTCTGTTTAGCTGTAGCTTCACTTCATGGCTCTGGTTTGTCTCCTATCTGCTTTAGCAAGGACACAGCTCAGACATAGCTGTGGGAACAGTTCACTCCAGGCTCTTTCCCCTGAAATATATGGAACTATCCTGTCTTTCTTTCCCTCTACAGTCATTCCATAATACATGCAATACACACACTACACCTGTTGCTATCAGAACACCCTGATGGACTGAAAAATGCCCCTTACCTTATTTTGAACATTTTCAGCTGAAAGCAGCAGATCATTTAGTAGCAAGCGGTATTATAAAGGCATCGAGGTACGACTGAGGCACAAGGATATCTGCTCTGAAGGGAGCTAACCTTTACTGGTGTGGTCATGAGCCAGTCTACGCTGCTTAGAGGCTTTTACTCAGCTGTAGTGAACTAAAAGCAAACAGCAAGCAAGCTAAACAGCACCAAGGCATTGGCTTGAGAAGTAACATCTATCAGTTGTACCGTTGGGTGGTTGCTAACCCCCTACCTGGCCCACTTTTGCCACATGACCTTTTAACCAGCACTGCTTCAGAAGGTGGCCAGCACCGGTTTGAGGAATACGAGGTCAGAGACTGGCTGCAATACAAGGTATAGTGAAGATTATGCTGTGGAAAGGATCCAGCTGTGCTGCTGTGTTAAATAAGCCAGGCCATCCCATTCATTTGCATGGTCAGAAAACACAACCCAGTCATCCAGCTGTGGCCAGTATTTCATTGTAATCAACGTCATGGTTTGCTACACAAATGTGAAAGGAAAACACAACAAAGATGTTTAAATATAGTAGGTTCTCCTTTGCTGTAATGTCCTTTTGTAACTTGGTGACCTAATTGGCTGAATTCAGTTTGATTTTAGTGCTGTTAGAGCCCAGTTTCAATCCCAAGCAAAGTTCCAGCACTTCAATATTGTTTTTATTACACATGAAGAAAAAACGTGAGAATGTAGTTCTCCAAGAAAACAAGATGTTCCCTCAAAAGTTTAATTAAAAATCCCAACGTTTTCCTGCTGTTTTTAAAATCTAAATGAAATGTTATCATAGACCACAATCAAAAAAGTCCACTTTGGGTTACTGAAGTGAGCTCAAATGATTCATTTTCAGATCTTCACCTCCCATCATACACCCAGCATAATGAAGTTGTGTAACTATGCAGAGTTCTGAAAAGAAAATATGTATTCACAATGCAAAATGTAGGGACTGAGAAGCCTCTAATCTAGTAGCCGGGGCAATAATTTTGCTGATGATGGGTTCCATCTGATCAGGTGTAGACATCTACTGCTGAGCTGGTTGTCTGCTCTCTTATTAAGTCACTGGAAGGAAAAAGACACTGTTTGGAAAGTGTCTGAAAGTGTTTGATTCAGTTTCTGAATCTAATTTAACCACATAGACTGAGCTAATGATATAATTCTAGGTAATCTTAATGAGTAGAAACAGGCCTTTTGGAGTGAAATCCTGTGCCAATATTAACTTCAGATTGAGACAGAAAATGACCCAGAGGCAGGCACAAAACATATTTAATTTGCATTTTATATTTTTTCATACTTGGGTAAATTTACTGCCCATATTGCCCAAGACACAGCCATTCTTTGCAAATTCCTCCAGCACCGGAGTCTGAAGCAGCCCAGAAAGCCCATGAATGATCTCTGTAGCATCTCTCAAGCTAATCAGTGTCAGTAATGATAGACAATGACAATGAAGTGAAAAAAAAAAAAAAAGAGCTCTTCTGAATGCCAGGAGGTAATGAAGTTTTTGAACTCATGCATATGGCATCAGTGGTGCAGTTATTACAACAGTCTGGTGGATAACTTAATCAGGCACATCTTTAAACACCACAAGTGAACAGTCATAGATTCTGGACAACAAGGATTTTCTTTGTACTTCCTGTAGGTTTGACTTATTTGCAGGACTCACCAAGAAGAAATGCAATTGTTTTCATGTCTGAAGACTGCAGAGTTGGATTGCCTTTTCAATGTCTCCTGGACATAGATTCCTTCTGGACAATGGAGGAATCTCTGTAAGCTTACTCTCAGCTTCTGATTGCTACACCTTCTTAGAAAATAAGAGGCTAAGCCCATCACTCCAACCAACCCAAACTTTCTGTACCCTATTTGGTTGTCCCAGAATGGAGATGGGAGGAAGAGCACCCCATCACCCATCAGCCCAAAGCTAGATGGTTGCTGTGATAAATGAAAATCCCTTCTTTACTAACCTTTGCTACCTTAACTGTCATCAGCAAAACTTTGATAGGCAGAACTAACCAGCTTTATAAAGAGCTTTTTATCTCTGAAAAATATTATCTAATACTTTGTGACACACTGCAACTCTTTGACTACTGTCTAGAGATGAAAAAGCACTGAAGAAGCCTGCTCCTATCATGCTATGATAGCAGATCCTGACTAACTGGACAAGATATTTCTTAAAAATCCACTCTGTTGAAAGAGAATGGAGAATCTTGGAAAACCTACCAAAAAAAAAAAAAAAAAAATTTTCCCCAGAACTATTTTTCCCATATAGGAATAGTAGCATCAAATTTATGTGTCTCATGTTTTGACTTTTGGAGTCTATGTTTTGGCTTTCTTTTTGAGTGTTGCTATTGGCCATGATGGAGGCAGAGGGTATGCCAAGCTCCAGTGCTAATCTCCAACTATTTAGAAACTCTCCAAAAGGATCTTAGGTTGCATAAAGAACTCTTACATGATGGTCAAGATGGACTTAGTTGTAAATCTAAGTTGTAAATCTAGTTTTTGCATTTTTAATGGACCATTTTCTGTTGATTTTACCATATTTACACTTTTTTTTGTATGCAACAAAACAGAACATCAGAGATGTTGCAGCAGTGTCAGTGAAAAAAAAGACATTTGAATAAGAAAATCTAAATCTCTGATGACACTTTAATTTACAGAAGTGTCTGAATTTAATAGTTGGCAAAACACTCCCATACCTACTCTTGTCCTTCACTTCTGCATATTATGAGTTTGGTGTTGCCCACAACAGAAAATCCCTCAAAGAGCTTCCCTTTTGAGGTGTTTTCTTAATGTAACTTCAGCTACAGTAGCTGGAATTTTTCCGACTGTTCTGCCTACTCTTATAAGCCTTGTTTTCTTCTGCAAGGGAATTGAGACGTTGCAGGCACAGGGTGTCCCTTGCAGCCCCATCATGCAGTGTGAACCCCCATAGAGTGCATGACCTCTGAGAGTTGATACAGGCAGGCATAGATAGTTAAATAATCACACTGTTGTCTCTTGAATATAGACAGCAAAGAGGCCAGGTATGAGTGCCATGCATATGCCAAGAGTTCTTGCACAGTTCCACACACAGTTAAAATGACTTCTCACTTCTAAACCTGCTTTCCTCTTACGATCTCATTGCTGTCTTACAGCCCAGTGTGATCGTAGCTCTGGTATCATCACTCATGTAACTTCTCTGCCAGTGACTGAGTGGCAGGAGGCATGACTTGGTCACTGTCCAAGCCCAGACCCGGGGGTCCCTCATAAATAAGCACAGGTACACACTGGTACTTCCATGCAGAATGGTCAGAAAATTAAATTGAGTACTATAAACCAAAGTCTCTAGGCTTTGAAGAAAAGGTTTTTTCTCAGTCATAAGGAATGCACAGTTCAAATGGGTGTGAAAAAAGGGAACATGGGAGGAGAAAAACAAAATACATCACGAATATCCCCAAAGGCAAATTACCACCGCAGAAACATACCAGTGTGAGGATAAATCCAAGCTTCTCCCCTGTCGGGCTGGAAGCAGAACAGTGACTCACCTCAGACAACCACAACAGCCATCATCCTGTTTGCTTGGGCTCTTGAAACATATTTTGCAGGTCATATCTGAAAATGAAGATCTGGATTTTCTTGAATAACTCTTTGAAATTCTTTTTCTCTAAGCCAGTTGCCAGTGGATAAATAAAGCCATTCTCACGTGTGATACAACACCTGAATAGAGGACAAGTCACTTTATCAAATTGTTGGTATTTTATATGACAAAGAGTTTGAAAGAAAATAATGCAACAAGAAGAGCAAAAAGATACATCTGATGCATGAAACAGCTTCTCAATTCAACTTTTTCCATTGCAAATGACAAAAAATAATCCCCTTCACAGAAGCTATTGACCAGTAATTTTTCCATGGTAAAGGCTTTGTAGTATTGCTCTGTTGTCTGTCCAATATAAAATGGGCTGTCTTTGCTAGGCTCCCAGGAACAGAGGATAAACTTCAACTGTGGCACTCTTAGCTCATGTACAGGAATTTAAGTGGCAGTCGAACTCCCTTACAAAGTTTTTAGCTTACATGGTGACTAGAAATTACCTGCCAACTTCATAACCAACCCTGAAAGAATGCAAACTTGTGAGTTTCTCCTTTGCATTTAAGTGTCAATTTCTTTTTGTATCTTCCTGCACAGAGGAAGGTTTAAAATGTCTTATGCATCACAAGGTGCTCATATGATTTGGAAATTCCAAATCATATGGGGGGGGGGGGCAGTCTGAGCTGCCTCCCCCACTTCTCCCAGCATCTCATACATATTTCAAGGCTCTGCTCAGAACAGCTATTTTTGGCTGTTTCAGAAAACGGTGTTGTTTATTCCAAGAACCCATCTGAAAAATTTACACATTGGAGCCCATGTTGCCAAGAATATGGAACTTATAACTGCAATACAAAGGACAGTTAATAAAACCAAGACGTGATCCTAATGAAATAAATGCTCAATTGTGTCCGCTCTAGAAAGCAGGAGATCTTTGTGTGTGAAGGTGTAAGACAAAATTTCTTACTTCTCAAAATGGTGGCATAATTATTTTAATAGAATAATAACTAGGTGAAGACACATTCAGATGATGTCAGATGATGTCTATCTTTTACAAGCAGAACTGCAGAAATGGCACCTGTGAATGGGAAGACTGTTCTTGTGACTTGTCCATAAACTGCAGACATGGTCCTGCAGCAGCTGAAATGGCAGGAATTGGCTTTAATGGAACTGTGGTTCTAGCTCTTTTTGTGGAAATTTGTTGAGATTGCACATGAGAATTAGTATCCAAGCTCATAATAGTTCATAGTAGTTCTTTTCCACCAATGCAAGGTACGTTTCAGGATTGGTATCTTGCCAGACTTGCTACGAAATTAAAGCTATGGTAAAGTAGTACAGTGAAAAGCATCAAGCAGGGTGATGATGCGAAAGGATGTGAATCGCTGCAGAAGTACGGTACTAGTGTTTGGTGTTGGACAGGAAGGTGGGCTAGATTCAGAATTCTGGCATTACTTAGTTTATGACCTAGAATGGGACACTCAATTCCTTTGCCTGTTACTGCGTGTATAAATGACACCAAATTGTTATTCACATCTTGCTTGTACACCAAGGAATTAAAAAACAAACAAAACCCTCCCACAGCCAAACCCTTACGCAAATGATAATTCGCGCAGTTCTGGGGCCCAGGACGCCCCTGGAGCTCATCATGCCTTGGGTGGAACGCCCTTTTCCTGAGTCAGCCGCTTGCCCAGGCCCACCCCCGCGCCTCCAAACACAGAAACTCCGAAACGCACCAATTCGTGCGGAGTTTCGTCCCTGAGACGACCCTCGACTCCTGCAGCCCATTACGACTTGCTCAGTGCCATCTGGGAACGATCTGAAATGGCATTCCTGGGATTCCGGCTGTTCTCGCTTAGGTAAAGGAACACCAGGTCCCGGTATCGAGGAGGTTCGCTGCCCTACCCGCCTCCCCGCGCCAGCCGCCGCTTTCTGTGGAAAGCACGTGGCTCTGGCTCGGCAGGCCGGGCTCCTTTCGGCAGTGCCTCCCCTCGATGGAGCCCGAAGCAGCCGGGAAGGGAAGGGCTCCGCTGCGGGCGCGGTGCAGGGAGCGCGGCCGGGAGCCGCCTCAGCCCCGGCGCCGCCGCGCTGCGGCCTCCGCGCGCCCCCTGCCGGCGGCAGCGTGCCGTGCCCGCCGCGGGGGGAGCGGAGGGGCCGGGGCTGAGCGAGCGCCGGCCCTGCCGGGTTACAACAGCCATTAGCCTAGACGCTAATGAAGTGAAGGGGCTAGTGAAGACAAGGGGCTCTCCAGCCTCTCTGAGCTCATCAGGGAGTGAGGTTTGTTTCGGGTTGTTAAATAAAGCTGAGCTGTGTAACAGTAGCAGTGTTCCCTTCGTGTTCTGACATTACGGGACAGGCTGGCAGTATGCAGGGGCGGCCCGTGGGGTCTCTTAGGGCAGGGCCTCCTGAAAAACACGTAAGTAGTTTCCATGCTGCTGGGCTTTCCAGTGACTGCCAGCTGCAGTGGTCTGCCTCAGTGGTGACAGTGAGGGCAACGTGAACACTAGCGAGGCCTTGCACTGGTTGTGGAATTACTGTCTGTGCTGTGGGCCAGGTGGGTGTCCCTGCACCTGGGCACCTGGGACTGACTGGAGGTGACAGCACTGCCAACAGGACCTGGGATACAATAAAAGTTATTGTCCAGAAATGCATCCTTTTACAACGAGGCCAGCAGCAGCCTGGGCTCCACTGGGCAGGGCACTGCAGCAGATTGAGGGAGATGTTTCTTCTCCTACTGTGGCTCAGCCCTGGCAAGACTGCAGTCACAGTGTTCTGTCCAGGCCAGGGCTCTCCAGGACAAGCAGGACATTGACATACTGGGGTGAGTCTTTAAAAGGATCACTGAGATGATGAGGGGATTAGATCCAATCCTGATGTATAAGCATAGGGTGAGAGAGATGGGACTGTTGAACTACAGAAGAGAAAATTCAAGGGGTTATTATCAATATGTACAGATATCTCAGCAGAGACACTAAATGAGATGGAGCCTGCTAAGTGAGTTCAGTTAAAGAAAAGAGGGAATTGGCACAAACTGAAATATGAGAAATCCTGCTTGTGTGTAAGGAAAACTTTTAAAACTGTGAGGGTGCCAAACACAGGCACATGTTGCTGAGAGACCCTGTGAAGTTTCTGTCCTTGTAGATGCTTGAAACACGGCTGGACATCATCTGCAAGAACCTACTGTAGGTGACTGAGCTTTGAGCAGAGATATTGGACCACATGATCTCCGAAGGTCCCTGCCAGCCTGTCATGTGTCTTCTTTTTAAAAGAAATGTAAAGAATAAAAAGGCAGTAGGAGAGAAGAATATTATATTTCCCTTGCTCTCTGTATGCTAAAGACTGAAACAAATGAGGGTGTTTGTTTTTTTTTTTTTTTTCTCTTTTGCTGTTGAATTGAGTTAGGTGAAAACATGAATAAGGATGGGAAGAGCACTGGTAAACAGAATACTTCTATTATTACTCAGTTGAAAGCATGGCAAGCCTGAGAGGGGGATTTTTTTTTTTTCCAGGTCTATAAATCCATTTGAAGTAACCTTATGTTTTTGCTGGCTTTTTCAGCAGGGAGATTAGCAGTAAGTTTATTTGTCATCTTCAAGCAGGTATAAGCCACTTTCACCATTGAAGTGGTATGTGTGGACTTGTTCACTGCAACCTTTTAAAAATTAATTTTAACTATATATATTGAGTGCCACAGAAATGAAGATTATTTTTTAAGCTGTAGGTCTGAACATAGATTTAGAACATCTAGCAATACAGAGTTCAGTCATTTGGTTCTGCAGTCCAGTGTGCAATTGATGCTCCCTGAGGTTAACTGGAACATAGCAATCAGCCTCTGTTAAACTACACAGTGTAAGATCCTTACTCAAGGAAAATCTCAGCTTCAGGCTTTGGGAAACATTAATTCTCTTTGTAGCTTTTCCATAAATACTGTGTAGCTAGTAAATACACAGACCTGACTTTTGATCATATTTGTCTTTTAGGAGATGTCCTGAAACACCTATATATGATCTATTTGTAATATGATGTAATTAGGAAATGCATTGGAATGTCCTGGTGTGAATCCCCATTCCTTAGTCAAAATGTCAGTGAAAGAAAGTGTAATGCTCAATAATCTGTGTCTCAGAGCTTGCTATAGACTAATACTGTCTACTTATGAAACCATACTTTCTATACTCTTGCAGTCTGTAAAATGTGGGTCCATATTAGGCAACATAGCAGCAGAAGTTGCAGAGTAACCATGTCGATGCAACAGGAAGCATATGCTTCTTTTCTGTTTACACGCTTGTGTTTCATAAAGTCAGTCTTATGAAGATTTTGATTTCTTCTTGTACACGAAATTGAAGTTTGCATGATGAGCCAGCTGATTGCTTATGAGCTAGGGTTAGTGGGCAAGCATCACACATGTTAGAGTGAGTGTCTGCTACAGACAGGAAAAAGATGAGGTCTCCTGACTAAAAAACATAATAAGGGAACATAAGTAGAAGGAAGGTCAGGTTATTCCTCCAAACCTTGAAGGAAGAAAACACTGTCTTGGTGTGTAGGAAATCAGTGAGGAAAGTGAGAGCCCACCTGAAGTTGGCCCCTTTCACATTAATTAAAACAAACCATAGAATGAAATAACTTAAATTTGAAAAGCTTAAAATGTTACTGAAATTCACTGTTTGGAGGATTTGTCTGTATTTTCATCTACAGAGAACTATAGAGAGAAAACTTAAACGAGAAAAGATTTTCGCTTTTGCCTTGGGTGGACAGAAGATGGAAACAGCTTTTGCGTGATTCTCCCTAAGTTGCTTCTTAGACTGAGACACTTTAGGAGTTTGTTTAAGCATAAAGTTGATTGCTCATGTCTGAAACAAAGCTGAAAACATTTGCAGGATAAAAAAATAGAATGAACTACAGCTTGTAGTCTGTAAAGGAATTTTTGTATGTATTAAGCCATATACACCTTTTGAAAGATGGTGCAATATGCATTTTACATATTTGCAGTTAAAATGCCTCAAGTCTGAATTTTAAACATAGTTCTGATCTTATAGTATCAGCAAACTGTATATTTGCTTTGAATTGTATCTTGGTTTGGATATGAGAGTTGGGCTACATCTAGAGTTGATGATGGTATGTTTTATAGCTTGCTGCCTGTTTTGCATGACAGGGATTTTAGTACTGTTCTGGTATTTCATATACTTATTTAGTGGGAAGACCAACATTTACACCTCTCACGTGAAGCAGCAGTGCAGTAAAATGACAGCACAAAGGCCTTCGTGCTTGTCAACAAGTCCACTAGATGTCCCTCCAGCTCTTTGTGAGACACAGCTGATTTATGCAGGCTAAATGGCTCTAAGATGAACAGCACTGCATTTTATGTCCTATATCTTGCATACATAGTTCTTTTAGGATTCCTACAGCAGTTACGAATAGAAAACAAGTCAAATTTCAGAAGGTGATGGTGGGTGTCTTCATATTGTATGTGTACACAGTGATTTTGATCTGTCAAAAGCAATCTTTCACTGTATGGATAGTGGGCAGGTAGTACACTGGGGTGGAAAAATGAATGCATTTTTAGGTTATGCCTCGATTTTTACAGAAAAAGGAAAATTTAGTTCAGTCTCAGCATTTCCACTCTGCAGGTGAAGACTAGTCTGGGACGTAGTTGGTGGTCCTATTAGACATTCAGTCTTGCTATGAAAGTGGTCAGCTCAGAAACACCAGAAAAGTTAAGATACTTTTTCACTATACCCTGAAATATGAAGATTAATCTCCTCAGAAATGCTGTTAACTCTGGTCCATATTTTCAGCTGCTACCTCTGAGTTAGTAATCTTTTCAGCATGCTGCTGTACTGATGCTTGTGACATCTGGAAGTGCAGTTCCAGAGTTTAGGTAAATATCATGTGAGATGATAATGTATTTTGATTGAATATCCTTACTTCTGTGGCTTGACACAGAGAAAATTAATCTAAGTCTTTACAATTTTTAGTCCCATAGTCTCTTATTCACCTGCCTTCTAAGGAAAATAATAAAATTTTTGTGATTTCTACCAATACCATCACTCTTTCTTATCATATTTTCCTTGATGTCTCTTCCTCAATTTCTATGTATTGTGTTTTTCATGGTGAGGTGACTAGTGCAGCATGAATTTCTTTAAATGACAAAACCACAGGTGTTAGTAAATTAATACACTAGAAATACTAGTTGTTGGACAAATTAATTAGTTAAGATACAGAAAAAATAGCTCTTTGTGTAACTTCATTTGCAGCAGTACTCATATACTGATTACACAGACTGATAGTTATTTTTAATAGTGATAAAATAGTGTTGAAGATAAGGGCTATTGCTTTATAATTAGGAGGTGCTTCTGTTGTTAAATTAATGTGACCATTTCATTATCTTTTGCTTGCTGTGCATTTTGCCTCTCAAAGCACATCCTCTGTACAGTTGCATAGCAGTTGTAGCTAGATAATAGAGAGTAAGTGGTCTATGAAACCTTTGCTAGGTGTCAGGGATGTAAATAGTGTAGGATTAAAATGTTTCTATTTTTATCTTGAGTTGTAGGTGTATACTATAATCTGGGACAAGAGGTCCTTGGTTATTTGATGTGGTAACTAAAAGCAAGGAGACCTCAGACCAAAACCCTGGTGGTTCAGAGCTGTACGAACAATACTAATTAGAATGAGAGCAATAGTTCATCAGATCTTCTTGTTTCCTTCTGATCCAACTTTCATCAGCATAGCCCAGTTATGAAATTTAAAATTATTGATCTTAAGAAGTGGGTGTGACATGGTGGAAGGAATTATTTTCTCTGCATGGGACATGGCAAATGCCGTCAACATATCCAGCGATGACAGTGAGTTGGAGTGAGGATGGGGGGAAA